ACACGGACCCGTAGATATTTATTGTATACTTCAGGTTACAATTTAGTACTGTTATTTATTTTGTTGCTCAAATCATTCCCGCTTTGGCAGTTTGGAACTCCTTTTGGCTGGCTCCTTTGTCCCCTTGATGTGTCCCATTTGTCTTTTGTGCACTTCCTTGCTTCCTGGCACTATAGACACTCAGTTGATTCTCTTGCACATTCCCAGCCTGAGTCCTAGAATAAGTCATTTCTCCAAGGAGTTTGGTTTCCTTTGATTGGGAAATAAATAGAAAAACCAAGACCTGGGCATGGTGGGTGCTGTTCTGTTCTGTAGGCTGCTCGGAGAAACGAACCATGTTTGTTGTCAATAGGTCATTAGGTTTGTGTTCTTGTTTGGAAAAGTTGGTGTCACTGGGTTCTGCAAATATTTGAAGAACACAGCGTGTCCTGGTCAACTGGGAGGACATGTTCTAAGGCAGCTCTAACAGTGGCTGAACTCAGTTAGAATGACACTTTTTCTGAAATATTTTTTGACAGGTTAACTTTTATAAAGCTACTTGTTTTCTGAAACATATCGCTTAAATTAGGCCTGGTTTTTATGCAGGAGTCAGTGTATTGTTCAGGGAAAGCTGACCTGCAGATAGGACAGCTTTTAGCTTTTAGCAAAAAGGAATACACACAACTGAAAAGCAGGTATGGTGTGTATTCCTTTCAGGACATTGCAGGAAATATTCACTTGTTGAACTTGCTGGAAGGTGGGATTTTCATAGTAGAGGCATGGCAAAGGCTTCAGAGACTGCAGGGGCAGAGACAGAGAGAGCTTTGATATAGGTGGCATTCCTTCCCTTTAACTAATGATTGTTCAAGCCCCTGATGGATTTCATGTCAATGTTCCTGGAAGATCCAATCTGGGCCCTTTGTGTGTGCGTGGTTGAAAACTCTGGCATGTGACCTTGATAAGAGGCTCTTTGGGTATGCCTGGCATAGGTGGATACTAGATAGGAAACAGTGAGGTAGTAGTCAGAGTCTCGTGGTGGAACTCTAGACATGGAACACTGAGTTGCCATCTCAGAAAGCTCCTATAAAGGTCCATCAATCCTTAGCATTGTGGTTGTATCAAAGTGTCAGTCTGTATTCACTACCCAGGTTTGCTGACGTTGATGTAAGTGTGTCAAATGATGTGGGCATGCACACCACCATTGTGTCCTCTTATTAAACCCCCTCCTCCAAAGGATAGCTGATCACTTCCTACCTGACAGCAGAAAGCCTCCAGGTGAACATTACCCATGAGGGGAAGCCAGAAGGAGGCATTACCTGGCTGTTTGCTACAGAAGCACGCGCACCATCCTTCTCTGACAAGCAGTTGAACCCTCCTCTCCGCTTAGTTTGTTGTAATTTAAAAGCCACTTTACAGTGATTTTGCAAAGCCCAGGGAGATTGCAACATGTGTTTGAGGCATTATCTCACATTCAGATTATCGGTGGCTACAAGGTAAAGCATGCTAATGAGTCTCCTGGAAGCTTAAGTTATGAGCAGAATATGGCCTCAGTCTGTCACTCTAACCACCAGAGGAACAGAGAAGGGCTGTCTTCATAGGTCCTAAGGCACTGATTGATTCCACACAATTGAGATAAAGGACAATGCTCCTTTATCTCAATTGTTTAGCGCTTTACTGCTGTGGGAAAAAATGGGGCCTAATGTAAAGCTAGAAGTAGGGTTTGATCCTTCTGTTTTGGAGGATGGGTATAGAGAATAAATTGTATCCCCGCACCATGCTTTGGAATTGTTATATGAAATTATTGCCATGCCTGGGCTATTTTTTGTATGTACACACAATTTGGAGGGTATGCCTGGCACAGGTGGATTCTAGATAGAATACATACAACAACAAAAAGTAAGGTATTTTTTTAAAATGTTTAAACATGACACAGTGGCCATAAGTGATATCTCATTATTTTAGGTCAGCAGCTCTGCAGTGGGAAAAGATGACAGGCCACTTGTCCAAGACTCTCAAGTAATAAAGTCCCTGAGCTGCAAAGTTGCTAGATCTGAGGGAGTATTTTTCCCATCATGTCAAAATGGGGGTGATTGCTGGCAACAAGCAATAGGGTTAACGGAAGCACATCTGCCATTTTGAAAACCAGTGGGATATACTTCCTAGATGCTGAAAATACAAACAGAAAATTCTATTGCATTTATAGTGATTCACTTATAATAGATCCTCCAAAGTATTTTTTTAAATGTTTAAACATGACATAGTAAATAGTCCCAGCCTTATTCCTTGAAATTTAATTTACCCAAAGCATAAAGGATATTATATTCTAAAATCTCAGTATTCTATTTTCATACATGACTGATTTACTTTATAATATATTCTGTTTTAGAGAAGAATCACTGGCATTTTAGGAAAAGAATATAAGTATTTGATGGAACTGGCATGTTTTTAACAATATCTTCTAAAATTACTACATTTTTTAAAAATTCAGGTTTTTAAAATCAGCACAAAGTTTTAAAGATTCTGCTAAGGATTGTTACTAATAGCCCTGCCCCAGCCTAACTCCTCCAGAGACTTTTCCTCCTGGTACTATTTCCTCTGTGACTCCTTCAAGTCTTTGGATGGATTCTGACTATGTCACTTTGGGATAAGATGGGAAATTATTTAGCTAGACCATGACAGCTGAGTCCTGATTCCCTTCCTTTCTTAAACATCTTTAGTTTTTCCTGAACTGAATGATCATTTTTTCTTAGTTCTTCATGTACTTAACATTAAGTTTTTTCCTTGTTTGGGTAAATCCACTGTCAGATAGAAACGTTAGACTTCCTGTATGCCTCACCCTCTGAGTGTGTCTCTGAACCTTGCTTCTGGCTCCCGTGTAGGCCCACTGACTTGCAAACCTGTCGCAGACTTCCTGGGATTGCCCCTCACCTCACCCCAGAGGTTCCTCTTGCTTTTTTTCTTGTAATTGAGCTTGGGTTTCTTCCTTTTCTTCCCCTGTGACTCCCCTCCTTGGCAGAGCATACTTCCAGTAGCAACTTCCTCTTTTTCCTTTATTTCCTTTTTTGGGGGGTGGGGGGAAGGGGTACTAGGGATTGAACCCAAGGGCACTTTACCACTGAGCCACATCCCTAGTCATTTTTATTCTTGATACAGGGTTTCATTTTTAGAGGGTCTCACTAAAAATTAATTTATTTTTATGTGATGCTGAGAATCAAACTCAGTGCTTCACACATGCTAGGCCAGCCCTCTACCACTGAGCCACAATCCAGCCCCTTGAGGTCTTGATTAGTAGAAATATCCTACTTTTAAATAGCTTTCATCTGGGGCTGTAGCCTAGTGGTGGAGTGCTTGCTGAAGACCCTGGATTCACTCCCCAGCACGGTGGAGGGTGGGGGGAATCCTCGATTGACATCTTGATTTAGAGTTCTAAAAAATCATTTTCCCTCCAAATTTTTGCTCTGTGTCTTCTTGTTTTCCATGCTGTTCAGAAACCTAAAGGTGTTCCACCATTTTTCAATGGTGTGCCCTAATGGGTCTTCCATCTTCTGCGCTACCATCACATGGTGGCCCTTTCTGTCTGGAGACTCGTGTCTTTCAGCTCTGAGAGGTTCACTCTTTCCTCTTTCTGGAATTCCCGGGATATTGGACCTTTATGTTATTGTAATCTACTCTCCTGTACTTCTCACATCTTTACCTCTAAGTGGTAAGCTTCCCCAGCTTCATCTTACTGTTGGTAATGGCTTTTCATTTCTGCTTTCTTAATCCCCAGTTCTTTTTGGTCCTTTAAGTTTAACATTTCCATTCTGTTTTTTGTTTCATGGATGCAGTTCTCCACCTTTCTGAGAATGTCAACATGGAAAGATTTTCTTTCTTCCTCTATGTGGTTCTCTCCTCACCCCCACCCCCACCCCTACAGCCCTCTCTTTTCTTTCGTTGGTTTTGACCTCCTCGGGAGCCCTTGGTTGTCTGCTGTGTACGTGGAGCATTTATAAAGCTCTAAGAAGCTGTGGATGCTGTGTGAGCTTTATCACCCACATGGGTCTCTCACTGATGGCTGGTCCAGTGGGGCTACTTTTTTGGAGCCTTGAATTTCCAGGACCTTTAGGTCTTCCTTCTTGGTCTAATTAGATTCCTTGGAAACTACTCTGGGTCTCTTGTTTGTAAAACTCAACTGGTTTCTTGTGTCCTGGGAGCCAAGTAAAAGAAGGCAAGGATATTTAATATGTCCCCTTTCCCTTAGTCCCTGTTCTGCCTTCGATCATGCCGGAATCCTTGTGTTTTATCCAGCAGTTAAATCTCCTGTGTCCTGCCGAGTTTGGGAGGCACAGTCAACAGCCATGCAAGGGGAACTGTGCCTGAATTGCTGACCACTAGATTTTCATGGGCCAGCGCCTTTACCTCTACTTCCTCATCTGTGGGGAGGGGAAGTAGAGAGAGAACTCTGCCTTTCCCCATCAGCTTAGGATTCCATTCTCTTGAACCTGTTTAAATCTGTTTTCCACTTGCCCATCTTCTTTCCAAAATTCCAGATTTTTGGCTATTGTCTCTTCCCTTACTCTCTCAACTAGACATTGCAAAGTTTATAGACAGATAGTTGTTTTAAATATTAGCATTTCCTTTATTATTATGTGTGCTCATTTAGCATGGTTCTATCCATGCCCAATTGCTTTCAGGTGACTTTCCCCTGTTTTTGTTAAGGCTATAGAAATTAGTGGACATGTCCACCCAGAACTGAGCTGTGCCCTGGCTAAGCCTCCACAAGAGCACGCTGGTCTTCACTGGTGGTTAGTGGATGCGCCACATCCACATCTGTTCCACCGCAGGGTCCCTTTGGGGTTAGCAGGGGGATGAGCACCTCCTCTGGCAGGGAGCAAGGCCGGGCCATGCCTGTTGTGGTGGCCACCTGATGGGGCAGTTCCACTATCTTCCAGACCTCCTCAGGGATCAGGGCACACCAGATTCTGTTATTTCACCCATTTATGCCTTTCCTCATAACCCTGCTCAACATTGTTTCCCCTCAGCTCTGTTTTGTGATGTTCTGGACTCCCAATGTCTCCGAGAAAATTTTGATAGACATCATAGGCGTGGACTTTGCCTTCGCAGAACTCTGCGTCGTTCCTCTGCGCATCTTCTCCTTCTTCCCAGTGCCAGGTAAGGAACAGAGAATGAATGAGCATTCCCATGGGCCCCCACGCCCAGTGAGATCTTTCTTTGGAAATGTAAAATTTCACAGTGGATTAAAAAGATGCAAAGATATTAGCCAGGAGGTAGAGAGTTCAAGAAATGAATCCAATAGGCATAGTATATTTTTTTAAGTTGCAAAGAAAATAAGAAAGCAGACCAAAAAGAATAGCATGTGGAATTTTGGGCCAACAAGAGAACTGCCATCTGTCTTGATTGTGGTGGTGGTTACTTATGTTAATCCATGAATTACAACTCTTAGAATTTTACATACACACACACAAAAAATACCAATTTTACAGTATGATAACTTAAAAAGTAAAAAATTGGGGGGTTGGGACACCATGGATTGAACTCAGGGACACTTGACCACTGAGCCACATCCCCAGCCCTATTTTGTATTTAACTTAGAGACAGGATCTCACTGAGTTGCCTGGCGCCTCACTTTTGCTGAGGCTGGCTTGAACTCTTGATCTTCCTGCCTCAGTTTCCCAAGCCATTGGGATTAAAGGTGTGCACCACCATGCCTGAGTAAAAAGTAAAAAAAAATTTTAAACAGGAAAATAGAGTGAGATTACTGCTAAAATTTGGAGCTATACAAATAAAGAGAACTATTCTTAGAGAATAGATTCCAGGGACAAGTTGAGGCCAGATTGCATATGGTCAGGACATGCCCATAGAGAAAACATAAGCCAGTTTGAAAATGACCAAGTTGATTTAGTAACATTAGGTATATTATACAAAATGAGGTAGTTCTACATAAAATGAGAATAATAGGTTATGGAATGGTTGGTTAGTATGTGACCATTGCTATGACAAATGTACAGCACATATATAACTATATTCTAATTTCCATCTGAGTGCTTGCATATCTATATTGTATTTCTAGAAGTAATTTACCCAGTCAGTAACTGGTTGCATGTGGGAAGCAGGACAAGTCATATGTAGGAGGAAGATCTCCTACTGTTTCCTTTTGTACCTTTTAAATCCTGTAGTACGTGTATATTAGTCAAAACTAAATTTCTAGGGCTGGAGGTGTGGCTCAGTGGTAGAGTATGTGCTTAGCATGAACGAGATCTTGGTTTCATTCCCAGAAATAAAAAAGAAAGAAAAATTAACTACCAAAAAATTCCACCTAAATGAGGAAACCCAGATTCTACAAGGCTATGTTAAACTAAGATCTGAGTTATGGAGTTAGTCCAGAACATCTAGCAGTCTTTTGTGGTTCCCAAGTTAGGCAACAGGTAGCTCTCACTCTTAGGTGCCAAGTCTTCTCAGAGGTCCAGCCTTGGGTCACTTTTAGGGTTGTGGCTGGAATGAAGGAAATGACACAGACCACCACAGTGGGATGGTGTCTGGTCTTTGTTGGGTCGACACTGGCTAAGTCGAGTTTGGAAGGTGATGTCACTTGGGGGAGGCTGCACTTGAAGTTCATTGCCCACACTTGTGACCTGAGGCGGGGCCAAGGAGTCTGGAAGCTCCAGCTGGATGTGCGAGTCACCTTTAATCTCTTCTTGACTCCACTTCCTTTCTGTCAGAAGGCCTTCCAGATAGCTGTCAGGCCCCATCTCTGCTCGTGACAATCTTGGGTTTGCACCACCAGATTAGCCTCTGACCCTTACCCTCTCCCTTGGCCAAATTTAAGTGGGTCTGTGCCTGAAAAAGGAAATGAGCCTCATTGATATAACACTTCCACCACTTGGGAAGGCAGGACACAGTTTGAGACCAAGACAACAGCAGGGACAGGGGTGTAGCTCAGTGGTAGAGGTAGAGGGCTTGCCTAGCCCTGGGTTCAATCCCCCACTCCTTGAGGGCTTGGTGGGAGAAGGGTTGGGGGATGGTGCAGCAGGCTCTGCTTTCCAGACAGACCAATCCTGGAAGCTAATGTTACACAGCAGCAAGCACGTCCTCCTCCAAGAGCCTTTGCTGGAGCTGTCTGCCTGGGGCTGAGGGTCCCCTCCCTTCCAGGCCCTGGCCCTACACTCCCTCAAGCCCCTTCCAGTTCCAGATAGAATCTGGACATTCAGGGCTTCTCCCTGGCAAGGGGAAGCGTCTGTGCCCAACATAGCAATGCCGTTCAGTTATTCATGTGCTGGCCTCCTGCACCCTCCTCCACACTCAGGCTGGCAGCCCTGCCTCCTGCAATCTGGGTGGGGAGAGAGGTGCAGGGAATTTGTGCATAGTCCATTGTGAAATAGCAACAGATGGAACTTGTGGCTGCACCATGATGGGGAGGAGACAGGGCAATGCCCACGGTTGGAGTGGACAGGGCTTGCTCTAGGGACGTAATGGCAAGTGGGAGCAACAACAGTTCCCCACTCTCTCATCCCCTCACCTCTCTGGTGATGGGATACAGCTCTGGGGCCAACAAGAGCTCACCCAGCATAAAAGTTGCTTTTTGTGGGGGAGGGTGGTTGCCTTTTAGAAGTGGATGGTCAGGACTAGGGTAAGGCTGGGAAGACTGTATCACAGGTGGTGCACCGGTGTAGCCTCTCTAGGCTACCACCTTTCCTGGATGATTACTAAGGGACCCGCCTACATCCAGCCACCTGAGGCGGGAAGCCTGGGTAGGAACAGGGACTGAGCCCAGCCTGACTCAGAAGCAGCAGGAAGGCCAGGCCAGGCAGTCTCTGGGCCAGAGGTGACGAGAGAGAAGCAGGGCTGATGGAAGACACAGCTGACAAACCCTTTGCTCTCTCCACAGTCACAGTGAGGGCCCATCTCACAGGGTGGCTGATGACACTGAAGAAAACCTTTGTCCTGGCGCCTAGCTCCGTCCTGCGGATCATCGTCCTCATCACCAGCCTCGTGGTCCTGCCCTACTTAGGGTATGGTATTAGGGAATTTGCTGCCAAGGCCTTCTGCTGCTTAAGTACTCTGTCCAGAGCCTTATGCTCTGGACTTTCAGGTGAACCCCCTGAGCATACTGGAGCCAGATCTTTAGCAGGGAGTTCTCTCCTGGCAGCAGGTGGAGGCTCTTGAGATCCGTGCCAGGTGCAGGATCACAAATGAAAGAGACTTGGGCGGGGCTGCAGAGCTGAGCCGAGGCTGGGAGGATCCTGCCCTGTTGGTCCCCAAAGGAAGACAGCTCAGCCCTGGGTTCCAGGTCCCTCCTCCCAGCATGGGTGATTGTTAGGGGGCGACCCTTTCTGAACCCAGTTAATCAAGGGTGAGGTTCACAGGGCTGGGACTGTAACTCAGTGGTAGAGCGCTTGTCTAACACATGTGAGGCACTGGGCTCCATCCTCAGCACCACATAAAAATAATAAAGGTATTGTGTCCATAAAAAAAAAAATTTAAAAGGAATGTGTTTCACTTGCCCCTCTCTAGGCTACACCTTTCCTGGGTTTCAGTAACATCAGTTGGGTGTTGGCATAAACTCTGTGTTGTGGCTCAATTTGGCTTTAACAGACAAACCACCTTTGTGTTCTCATCTCCAGGGTACATGGAGCTACCCTGGGTGTGGGCTCCCTCCTAGCAGGGTTCGTGGGAGAATCTACCATGGTCGCCATTGCAGCGTGCTACGTCTATCGGAAACAGGTGAGAGACACTGGCTCCAGAACTGCAAAGCCCCCTCCCAGGTGTTCTGAGTTTGTGCCACACATATGCAGGGACAGCCATGATAGGCACTTTAGCTTTATCTTGACCTTCCAGGGTCTGTACCCTCACAGCCAGTGTCACCTCACCTTGGTCAGCTTTTAGTAACGGCAGGGAAGCCTTTCTTCTATAATAGTTTCTTCCTTATATCCCACCGTGTTTCAAAAGACAGTCATACCTCTCAGGATGGATGTGTACAGTCCTACATCCTGCTGTTAACCTTTGGAGACCAAAAAAAATTGTAGAAACTAAATAACAATTTTGACCTTAAAAAATCCTAAAAAAGGTGACTCTGGGCTGGGGATATAGCTCAGTTGGAAGCATGCTTGCCTCCCATGCACAAGGCCCTGGGTTCAATCCCCAGCACCACAAAAAAAAAAAAAAAAAAAAAAAAAAGTGACTCTTCTTGCAACCTGATTCCTCCCCTAAGTCATTGTAAGCCCAGACTGGATCACTAAGGTGTGGCTAATTTAGAAAATGTGGGGTGATTAGGCCACTCTCCCTCTCTTGCCTCCACAGAGCCTTTCCCCTCTTCAGCCCTCCTCCAGAAAGCCTTTCCTGACTGTGCTAGACCTCACCCCACCCCACCTCAGCACTCTCCCACACTGTCACATGTTCTACCTGCTGGCACACAGCTGGTCTACCTTGCAGGCAGGGTCACCACGCCCTGAGAGGGGTATTTCTTTTTCTGTTTCAGGTAATAAGCAAGACTCAAAGCTATCCCAGAGAGACCAAGTGATGACAGAACAGGGAGGAGTGTTCTAGAACATGAGATTCAAAGCTTCAGGCTTTAGGGAGGAGGCTAATAGTTTGCACATGGCCATAAGGGTAGTGGGGAACAATGGTGACAGAACTGCAAAGAACAGCCTCCACTCCAAAGGGCTGCAGGGAGGTGAGAAATGGTCCCTCGAAGTGCCTAGCACAGTGACAGGCACACTGCAGGTGAGAGGAGTGTGCTGAACAAGATGCAGCCTGATGAGCTCACCCCCCAACCACAGGCGAGACCCAAGTCTGCAGCCAGAGGTCCTGGCAGCCTCTCCCTGCTCATGGTTCTATTGCCGGGTGCCCTGTCCACGGCCCCACACTAACGAGTCTTCTTTGGTTTAGAAAAAGAAGATGGAGAACGAGTCAGCCACTGAGGGGGAAGACTCTGCCATGACTGACATGCCTCCAACAGAGGAGGTGACGGACATCGTAGAAATGAGAGAGGAGAATGACTAAGGCACAGGACTCCACGGGCACTGCAGGGACAGTTGGGATGGCACTTCAGCATCATCTCTTTCCCATGTGTTTTTTTGTTTTTTGTTTTGTTTTTGGTAATGAAAGAGGCCTTGATTTAAAGGTTTCATGTCAATTCTCTAGCATACTGGGTATGCTCACACTCATGTGGGGACCTAAAGAAAGGTCTTTCCTTCCGCTTTGTAAACAGACAAAACCGATGACTTTGTGCCCCTGCTTCATGAAAACCCAAAAGACATAGCTGCCTCGTAGTCAAAAGTCTCTACTCCTCCCTCGGACAATCTTTACTTTGAACCAAAGGACTGCGGCTGTGCCATCGCCTCTCAGGCCACCACTACCCAGCTGGCCACAGACTCTTTCCTGTCCCATTTTGTCTCTCTTAAGAATCAACAGGTTAAAGTTTGGCCTCCTTTGACTTGCTTCCCAGTAACATGGCTGTACACAGAGATGTCACCTGGTGGCCAGTTTCTTCTCCCTTCCACCATGGAGTCATGAACTGCCTACCAAACATATGCAGAAGGTGAGCAACAAGCTGCAGCCCAGAGTCGCCATGCACACTGAGGAACAGATTTGTGACCACACTGGGCCGATGTATGGAAATATGCTGTAGAAATGTTTGCAATGCCATCAGAGTAGCAAATTGACGTGGTCAATGGCATCTCACTTTTCGTTTTCCTAGATCAGAGCGAGCTGTCATACCCCACCGTGTGTACACACGAGCCACCTTTTCACAGCTGACACAAAAGCGCATCTCCCAGCATCAGCATCCCTCCGCATGACTTTCCCTGAGGCTTTTCACCCCTTTCCTGAAGATGGCACTAGAGCGAGTTAAAAGGAGCCTTCTCACTTTCCATTTAGTTTTACAATGAACTGAAGCTTTAAGTCATAATCTAGCATTCTAATGCCAGGTTGCTGTCTCATAACTTTTAAAGTAGGTTTATTACCTGGTTCTGCCGTTCCAAGTCATGACTCTGCGGTACAGGTAATTCCAAGTGTACTACGGTACTTCCCTCTCACATACACCATAAAGCAAGACATTTTATAAACAATTATCAAAGTCACTATGTGATATTCCCTGAAATAATGCATTGGAAATCCATTTAGTGCAGTATATTTTTCTAAGTTTTGGAGAGCGGGTTTTTTCCTTTAAAAAAATTATGGACACAGTTCTCTAAATTCTTGTTTTAGTCAAAATAACTAGACTGAAAGAACCTAAACAAAATATTTTAAAGATATAAATATATGCTGTATATGTTATGTAATTTATTTTAGGCTATAATACATTTCCTATTTTCGCATTTTCAATAAAATGTCTCTAATACGATGCAGTGATTGCGTGTTCCACATACCTGCAGTTGAATGGTATTGTATCACTGACCATTGTATCTTATTTGCAGCAGTTTTTACAAAATCCCTTGTTTGCATATGAATGTAAGGGTCCATAAATGACCAGAGAACTATTCTGGGTCACGGGTAACCCAGGAATAAATTGTTGTGTGGACAACTGTGGGAATGCGAGTGTGAGCTGGAAGGGCAAAAGAGGCAAAGGAGAAGGCGGTCCTGTTGTGTTTATTGTTTTCAGTGCTGTGTACCCATACTGTTCCTCAGAGAAAAAAGGCTGTAAGGACATAAAGGTGGCTGTGAACCTCACAGGGCTGCATTCCCGCTTTGGGGCACCTGGTGCCCCTCAGATGTGCCCCGCACAGGGACAAGTCCTTACATGCTTCCTCAGAGCGGCTTTTCCTCCATTTATATGTATGAGTGCTGAACATTCAGATGCGTAGCTGCTTTGGGGGTGGTTTCAGGGGCAGATCTGAAAAGATGAAGAAAAAAAAATCTAATTGTATTGGCTTTTAAAAAGTACATGACTAGAAAATTAAACAGCAGTATTTTTTAACATGTGTGACTATTTCATGCTTCTGGGGTTAAAAAGCAAAATGAAAAAGCAAATCCTTTCTCATTCAATCCAGTGTAAATCAGCTAGCACAACTCCTTATTGTGCAATTAGGACATGCAATTTTAACTTCAGAGATACCTTTAGTGATAAAGATTAATGGGCCATCATGTTATTTTGGAGTTCCCAAGAATCTGAGAAGCAGTGCAGTCCCATGCCACAGCTCAGGAGCTGGGATTCTGTAGTGCTTCTTCACACATTTTCTTTACCTTGGCTGCTGCGACATGGCCAAAGAAGCATCTGAACTCTGAAGACAGAACCCTGAGCTGGCATGTTCTCCTGTCTGCACCAAGAATTTCATCATCCAGATAGGGAAAGGGGAGAAGGGACGCTTTCCCCACTCCACAGTCACAAGGGGCAACCCTTCAAGTCTGCTAACCCAAGCAATGTTCCAACATGTTAATTGTTGCACAGATCACTTAGCTGACAGATTTAGAAGAGTGCTGTGCCTGTGAGAGTCACATGTCAAGGACTATGGAAGGACCAATCTCAAACTACAAGAGCACAAAGCAGATTTTCATCTAAAGGCTGAGAAATGAGTTTGGGCCACTCAAAGCATAGCCTTAGGTAAGGATTTCCTGAACACACTGCATCTGTAAGACTTCAGAGAACTGAGCAAATAGAACTAGATGAGGCTGCTCCAAGAAAGTCATGAAAAGATTGGACTTGCTGGCCACAGGCTCAGGGAGCGCTGAGATTTGCACATTGGCAGAAAACCCTCATCCACTGAGGAGTCTTCTTTGACACTCAAGGCCACTCGTTTATATTGCTGAGTAAAAGTCAGTCACCCTACTTGCTTCCTGCATTGGGCCTGTTTTGTGCCAAAGTTACTCCTCTGGTTTTGATTTGGGTTTTCAGCATTAACAGATAGTTTTGCTCAGAAATGAGACACTTCCTATGAGAAAAGATCCATCAGAGGAGGCTCAGTGAAATCTGGATGCAGCAGTTGCAGCACTTCCTTCTTCAAACAACCTTGGAGGTGCAGGAGACCAGACGCCCAGGAGGAAAGGCACCTGGGGCTCACTAGGGAGTGACGAAGCTGGGGTAGGTCTTCAGACTCCAGGGGTAGCTTCACTTGCAGCCCTTTCTGGATCTGGCAGGATTGGAACAGTTGTGACATATCCCAATAATGAGAAAAGTTATTCAATTTATCTTTAGAGGAGGAAGTAAGAAGAGTCAGCTGCTCCCACCCTGCTAATTATTCTGCTTGGGAATCTCTTCTTCTGAAGGGGTGGAGCATGGGAAGAACTTTTTTGTAATACTCCTTTCTAAAACTTTGTCAATGGCCCTTGACTCAATTTCCGCTCCCCTACTCAAACTAAAGTGGAGAATGACAATATGTGTTGCAAAGTAGAAAGTATATTGTTGCAATTCAATTGTTCCCTTAAGATATGCATGTCTCAAGGGGGATGTCAATGCCCTGGGACTAATCCCCAACATGGCAAAAGTAAATAAATAAATAGAAATCTAATTCAGTAAATCTGAATATACCAGCATCCAGAAAAAATATCATGTGTTGGTCTGTACCAACCAGCCATGGTTTCTGGCCCCTGGTTCTGCAGGTAAGCTGCTCGCTAAACTTAGCATGAAGTCCTCATCCATCAAACGAGTGCACAGTCCAGAAAAAAAGGGGTCTCTTACATTCTAAGTTCTGGCCCACACCTTTCTTTGTAACTAAAGGTGCACTACAGTTGCACTGTAGGAAAGCTGTGGGGGCCTCAGTGTTGATGTGCACACTGCACATTCAGCCGGCAGCTCCTGCCTACATTCTCCACACCACCAACTTCACACGGCCCTCACACTTTATAAAAAGTATTTGAACAGTAGAAAAGCAAGTTTTTGCGCAATGTGTTTGGTAAACATCCGAGATACTCCTCTGTGTGGTTATTTTGAATCTCTATTTCTGTCATTTGAAGCAGCAAAACATCAGGTGACTCATCAGCTGATCTAACCACACGTAAAACAGGATGTAGAGAAAACCTGAAGGAAAACATAAGAAAAGGCCCTGTTGCCTGCCCTTTCAGAGGCCAAACATCCAAAATTACTACATAATGTTCAGCACGAGAGAAACTACATTGTGCAATCAAAATAACCTAAATGTCACTCAGGAGTCAGAAAAGGTAACAAATTATATACTTTACTATCTGATTTCAAAAGGAGAAAATAATGAGATGAAGAGAACTTGCTTTAAGTTTAAACTTCCTTTTCTCTGCAAGGGAGGTTAAGGTCTGTGATCTATCTGTTGTAACTTTCTGCTAGGAAGAATGCCTACATCAAAAGAAAAAAAATTATCTTCAACAGGTTCAAGTGGTTTCAGAAAAAGTATACCTGGTACCTTCAAAAATATTTAATCTTACTGATAATTTTTTTCTCTGCCTCCTTTGCAATCAATGAGGGTCTCAAAGACTTCATATATGCATACAAGTACTTTCATAGGTGGCTGTGGGCTATACACAAGGTCAGCAACTGTTTTTTATATGGTATCCTTTTTAAGTTAAGCTATGTAATTTCAAGTGCACTTTACTAACAAGACTTGTTATCAGCTTCTATAATATGGACATTTAAACAAAAGCACACAAAAACTAGGAATCCTTTCTCTTCAGAAATATGAGGTTTCTATAGGTTAAAGAAAGGCAAAGATGAGAGCAGACCAGCTAAAAATGGTTGGACCATTAACTGTATAACTTCATGAAAATTCCGTGATATGGAGACTGGTCATTACTATAAGATTTAAAGACAGATGTTCCCAACTATGAGCCCTGGGCATGCTGGCTTTGGAGTTGGGTAGACTCCAGTTCCCTGAAGGTGAGGCCATAAACTGCAAGGCCCTACAGATTCAAAGAACCAGTTCTCAAAGTTCAAGTTCATACCATCCTCATCTCACAAAGCAGACACAAAGCAGACATCATCACCAATCACCCAGCACTCTACAGCATTGGCTGCATCCCACAAAGCAGGCCCATTACCCCAGGGTTGCTTTATCCTCAAGGCTTTTGGTAGCAAATACTTGTTTCTTGGATTCAGTGATATATTTTGTCTTGATAGGGTAAATCTCTAAGGCTGGTATGACCAAAGAGCCAAATAGCTTCACAAAACTGGACAGAGTCAAACTCAAGATTCTGTCCAGTACCAAAAAGCCCATGTTCATACACTATAGGAGAGCTTCCAAGCTGGAGGCCTCAGGCCCACAGCATGGCCTTCCATAGCACTTGCACCTCTCAGCCTTACTGGCCCATCCATCCATCCAAGGAGAGGCTTGAGCCACTATTGTAAGGCCTCTTCCTGGTCTAACATCCTACATGTGATCTTGTTTCAGAACTCCATATGAGATCCAATAAGGAAAAAAGAAATTACCTCAGTCTTCATTTCAGATCTGAACATTAGCAGCAATCTATATTTTTCTTTTTCCTTTTAATAAAATTAAGTCCACAGGGAGTCATTCCTCTACCTAAGGTGGCTGTCAGCCATATCAAAACTATGGGTTTAATTTAAACTGTTGAAATCAATTGCATTAAAATTTTTGTATAGCCTTTGATTAAAACTGACTGCAGGTCAGTGTGACTATATGCTTCATTTAAACAAGCATTGTTTATATATTTAATTGGAAATTTTTCATTGTTAAGAACATTTATATAATTTTGTTTTTCAGGTTTTTTTAATTTGTACCCATATATTTCAATTAGTTTTTATATTCTAATTTTACTTTAAATAAAGCTTATTAAACAGTTGGCAGATAATATTGAGATTGCTTTCAGTTTCTTGATTTTCTTATTCAAATCATTAGCCTGTTCACTCACGAGTTACTTAATTCCTAATCCTGACAATTTTCCTCTTTCAAATTTACATGACATTAAAATTTGACCCTTTGCTTTGGTAACTAAAACTTCTGAGCATTGAGGTAGTTCTATTACTCCCTACCTTATTAAAATATAACATATTCCTTCAGATTTTATTCTGTATTAAAATGATTTTTACTTCCCATAATTTCAATAATACTGAAAGTACTTCTCTGAGCCCCAACTTCTCCACACTCCTCTTATAGTGGGAATCCCAAAATCAGTTGAGTGTGAGAAAAGCAGAAACTGAAACCCTCCAGCTCACATCTAAGAGGCTTGCTCCTATCAGTCTTTATTTTAAAAAGTTTGTTTGTTTTTTGGTACTGGAGATAGACTCCAGGGGCACTTTACCACTGAACTATGTCCCTAGCTCTTTTTATTTTGGGAGTCAAGGCTTCACCAAGTTGCCTTGAACTTGCAATCCTCCTGTCTCAGCTTCTCAAGTCACAGGGATTATAGGCATGTGCCACTGTGCCCAGCATTATTCTTTTTTTGAAATACAACATCTTCATCTCAAAGATGTCTCTTATTTTTTTAGCCAACTCATAGTATATGAAGTGTTTTATTATAGATCTACACTCCCTAAGATTAAAAGCATCCCACTGACTTGCTCAAGATTGAAAATTTTCTTCTTTACATCTTATAGTTAAAATCCCAGCTCTCAGTGCTTCTCTTACACTGGCCATGCCTTAGAAGTCTTAAGGTGCCAATTTTGTGTCCACACACAGTTATGCCTCTCTTCGTGCTCAGCAATGTCAGGGTATGTTCTTGGCGGCCTTAAAGACAGCTTGGAGCTGTACCAACCCAAGCGGCATTAATTGTTCTGTGGGGAGAAGCACTACCATAAGGGGCAAGTATGTAACACCCACCCCACCCTACCCCAGACTTTCCCCTGTCTTCTCTGTCTAGATGAGTCATAAGTGTCACCTCCTGCACAACCCATGCCCACGGGCAGAGTTCCACCGATGCCATAGCCATAACTATCTCCTCGTCACTCTCCCCTGCAGCCCTTCCTGAGTACCCTGTGTGCTCCCACTGGCCTAACCGTGGAGTTTTGCTCAGACCAAGCTTTCCTTTTTGACACTATCAAAAGCAGTGCTGGGGTGGAGGGGAAATTCATCTTCCTTGTATCTTTCTGCCCACTTATCTAAACAATGCAAGCCAGTAAATGCCATGTCAACTTCACAGTTCAGCACACTGGTGTTCAAACAAAAGATTTCAAACAAAATCACGAACTATGTATGCATCCTTGCTCTGTCCCCCTGCTTAATAGCCATGCATCAGGTAAGTGACTAGTGCCCCTGAATCAGCCTCCTACAGCTTTTATGATCTATGGGATATCAAGATTTGCAGTGTGACAGGTGGCAATTCAGGAAGACAGGTGGCTCCTCTACTAATCTTTCAAGTCACAGGAAAGCACTTCAGTCAATGAATCTGTGAATGGTTTGGTTTCCTTTAACAAAGAAAAAAAAAACTAGAACTTTCATGAAACAAAGTGTAACCTTATCTCAGGTTCAGAAACCCTTGAACCTCAAGACCAAAATAGAATAAACAGATGGAGTAACTATTTTCAAATTTACATTACGCTGTACACCTAAAGACTCCTGTCAGACTTTTCACCTGTCTTATGGAGAAAGTCCTCTGGGTCTAATAGCCAAGGAGAACTGGTCATCTGTGGACAGACCTTGCAAGTTCATGGTGATAAAGAGGACTTCCTTACCCAGCTAGTTCTACCACCTCTGCCCCAGATGCTTCAGACACCAGAAAACAGCACTCTTCCCCAGCCTGCAACTATGCCTCCCAATGCTATTTAATTCAGCTCTGTGGAAAAGAATAAAAATGGTCTACAGACCCCTCCCACCTTAGTTGGGAATCCAGTTCTACAGGCTTCCAGTGCCTTAAACCCGGACCTGTTTCCATTACTAAACACACCCTAGTGATCGATCCCAAAGTCTGTTTTCCAGCCCTGACTTGTTCACAAGCTTCAGATCCAGTACTAAGTCACCTCCCAACATCTCCTCTGGAGGTTCCAGAGAGGCCTTGGTCTCATAGCCCCTCCCTGCACACTTCTTGCCCACCCCTCCCACTGTCTCCTGACTTATCAGAGGAACCACATCAGCAGCAGCCCAGAAACCTACTCCAGATCGAACCGGACCCTAATCCCTCCAGTGCTGCCTCCTAGCCTCTCCCATTTCCAGCTTCCCTCTGCAGTCCCACAGTTTATCTCAGATACTCCTTGGGCCTGGCGGTTACAGAAGCCTCCAGACTGGTCTTTCTTCTCCAGGCTTGTTTGTCCCCAGGATAGGATATAAATAACACCTCCCAGAATTGTGCCGCACCCCACCTACACACCCATTCCCAGAAGTCCCCTGATTCCCCTGTCCCCTTCCTCCACTGCAGATAGTTCTAAGGCACCCAGCCTGCTTTTCTAGGCTGGCCATTCTTGCTCTGAGCATGGATGGTTGTGAGGCCAGCCTGGCACTTCCACCAAAGTACATCAGCCTATCCAGGCTCTGTACAGAAAACAAGAACCTAGTCAGCATTCAGGATTAACAGCTACTGAGAAGCAAGAACAAAACAGGGACTCCTGATGGACCAGCTTCCTGTTCCAGAGTCTTAACTCTCTATCACCCCCATCCACAATGAGGGCAAAGGACTAAGGGATTTTTTTAAAAAGAGAATTTGCAGAGATGGTTTCTTTGCAAAGATCTGTACTGGGTCCCACTCCACTCAAGGGTGTGTGTCTTAGGTTGGAAGGGACCTCTTAAACAACTGAGTGACAGGGCTTTTCAGGAGCCATTCAGAGAACTTGAACTGGCCCCAACAGTGCCGGGACTCAGGGGGTTGGTGTCTGACTCACCCGTTGAATCTGAGGGAAGAGGTGTACTGAGGCTGCCTTGAATAAGCCAAGGCTGACAGGAAGGGGTACAAATGCCTTTCTCTTGATGAGACCTGGCCACAGTGATCACCAGGTGGGCCTGGGGTCATCTTCAGGCCTGTCCAACAGTACTACATTGGGGAAGGGGTATTAGCAAGGCTCAGCAGAAAGAAGCTGGGTTGTCACTGGATTCTGAGAAGCTGCCAAGGAAGAAGTAGGTCAGAGTACAGAGCACTGGCACAACGAGGCAGCTGTCAATGAGAGGCTCTGAACTGGGGACCAGAGGTGGGGGATAGAAGGGTCTCCAAAGATTCCTGAAAGTACCCCAAGAGAGGAAGAAAGAACATGAGCTAAGCCCTGCTCAGCCCCAGGCAGGGAGGCCAGTTTAGGACAACTGTTAAGACCTTGCTCTCTCCCTCACCTCGCCTCCCTCCTCCCGTTTCAACTCTGGAGGGCCACACAGGGCGGCCAGCCATCAGTCGTGGCTCTAACACAGTTGGGATAGTCCAACTTCTTAAGTAGAAAAGGAATATGAGTTTGCTCTTGAATGCTCCTAAATGTCCATGTACTAAAGGCTTGGTCCCCAGGGCAGGGCCACTAGGAGGAGGTGACTAGTGGGAGGGCTTTAGGTCATGGAGGCCATGCCCTTGAAAGGGATTAGAGAATCCTCATTTCTTCTTCCCTTTTGTTTCCTGGCCATGAGGCAAGTGGTTTTGTTCCGCCACATGCTTCTGCCTCAACACAGGGTTAAACACAATGGGTCTTTCCTGTCATGAGCTGGAACCTTAAAAACTGAGCCAAAACATTTTCTTTGTAAGTCGATTATCTAAGTTATTTGTTATAGTTGTAGAGAGCTGACTAATACAAATAGCATTTGGCAAATTAATATGACTATAAGCTCTATTAACAGAGTACTCAGCAAAGTCACAGGATACAGGGGAAGTTTTCCCACGGAATACATCTTGAAGGATGGAAAGATAAAAAAAAAAAAAAGTTACTCTGTGATTTCATCCCTGGAGTCATGCATAGTTCAGCTCACTTGTTAGGGATGCACAAGTGAAGGGTGGTGACCGTGAGGGAGTGTTGGTGGTCAGAAGGGAGTTGAGAGGGGTGAGCCTCAGCTGGATGATTCTGATTTCCCTGAATTTGAAAGCAAACCAAGCCCAGAGAAGGCACTCTAGTGAAAGGACAAAGGTAGTTCCACCTTTCTCCCCTGAATGTGCTCTGACCCCAGGACACCTACACAACAGCCCTCCCCCCACAGTCTACATCTTTTTTTTTTTTTAATGTTTTTCGTTGTTGATAGACCTTTATTTTATTTATTTATATGTGGTGCTGAGAATCAAACCCAGTGCCTCACACATGCCAGGCAAGTGCACTACCACTGAGCCGCAGCCACAACCCCACAGTCTACATCTTTAAGGTTCTTTTCTTATCTCCAAAGAAGGACAAGCCCTCCAAGAACTAAGCTAAGCTGAGTTCTTGTTTCTTTCAACCAAAGAGCTCAATAAGAACCCCCAATTGCCCCCTCAGTCTGTCTTCCCTTCTCACTGCTCCTATCCCTACAAAATCCCTCTTCTGTTAAATACAAGTATAAAAGCCAAAGGTTGTTAGAACATACAACTGTTGGGCAAGGAACATGAACAGTTGGCTCCCAGAAAATGACCTGCAAATGGCTTATACAAATGAACGTATGTCCTACTTTACTCAAAAGTAAAGAAACGCAAACTGAATTTCCAACTTGCAGCCCAGCAAAGATCAGAAAGTTTGATAAAGCTTGGTGTTGACTAGGACCTATAAATCAACAGGACCACTCTACAGGGTAGTTTGACAAGAGGTTTCAGGCACACACTCAAATTAGGGAAGGAGAGCAATGTAACAGGCAAAGAGTATAAATAGGAAACAGAACCCAGACAAAAGGAGAAGAAAACAGAGAAAATGCAGAATGTCCAAGGTTTGGGCAAGGCGGGGGGGTGAACAGAAACATACTGGATAAATACCTGCTTGTTTAACCACAATAAAGCAGCTAAGCAGCTGGGCTTCTCTTTACCATTTGGAGGTTGTAAAACCTTCAGAAGGGCTTCCAGAAGACCCACTGTCAGGACCAGAGTTTTTCTCTCCACTCCCAGGGTGAAAGAAGGTCAAGGAGGAGGAAGTGCTAGAAGCACTGGCCTCAAAGTTGAGCTGAGCACCATAACTCAGACAAGTAGAGGGAGAAAGTGTGTTTATATGCAACACTGAAAAAGCTGATGAACCCACATGAATGGGACAGTGAAGGAGAATGGTTTGTTGCTGCTGCCCACCACCAGCTTAACACTGTTTTCTAGGGGATGCCCAATCCCTAGCCAGTAGGTCCTTCAGAAGTCCAGCACCATTTTGCAATACTTCAGGCTCAGCAGTTCTGGTTTTTTTTAATACATTTTTTCATTGTTGATGGATTTTATTGTATACATTTATTTATATGTGGTGCTAAGAATCGAACCCAGTGCCTCACACATGCTAGGCAGGTGCTCCGCCACTGAGCCCCACCCCCAGCCCCTCAGCATTTCTTTGACTATGAGGAAGGCACAACTCTGCAGGCTCATCCTTCATTCTCTGCTCTTGCAATGCCTGTGAACATCCTGCCCCATTTTTAGATTATTAACTTCTTTCAATGACATCCTAACTCATATCAACACATACAAGTTCTTGCTATCACATTTCCAGTAGCTGAAATGGTTAAAGCTGGCCTCGCTCAGCAAACATAAGCAAGGCTGGGTCAGGATTGGGCTGCAGCCCCGCTCTTGCAGGCTGAGATCTTCCTCTAAATCTGTTACATGCTGGCATCTCACTTAATCCACAACAGCATCCAAGATAAGAGGACTATGCAAGGTAGAGTTGAAGACATTGAGATTTAAGGAGGTTCAGTAACTCACCCTCACTCAACCCTGTTAGAATCCAGTAGTGGGAATGCTCATTAATCCAGGTCTAAGTCCAAAACTGTGCACCGTTTTTGAAGGTATGTGCTAATCACTTCACCTCATCTAACTCTATCTCTGCCCAACAAGGCCTCCCCAGAATTGATTCCTGCACTCCAAAGCGCAGGAGTGAGGTCAACAGTCACTGACCTGGACACCACAGGCCTGCCCTGGGGCGCTGGAAAGTTAAAGCATTGGATCACAGTCTGCCAAAGTCCTCAAAAGCAGGCATTTAACTACAGTGACACAGCCAGGCTTCTTGAGTTTATTTTTAGTTATTTATTTTTACAATCCTCAGCATCCAGGTTTGCTAAAGGGGATCAACAGCAAAATCCAAGAGTAGGAGTGGCCCCTACAGTGAAGACGAGAGACTCAACAGGTGACAGGAAACTCTTGCCCTCTGAGCCAGGAATCTGGATGAGTTTGCCAACGGGAAGTAAGGCCTCAAACTGTCCAGAACCTCAGGGGCATGTTTTTCAAAACAGGAGAAATTTTTGGCAAGTTCAAACATCTTATAGTGTAAACAGAGGAGATGATGTTAAACAAGCCGAGCTAGCAGGGTTGGGTTCCCACGAGTGCTCTCCCTTCACGGCAGACTCCCCCATGGAAGAAAAACACCATTAACTCTGGCAGAAGTTACAACATTGGGCTGTTATCCTCCTCAAATCCATAATATAGAAAGTTAGAAACTGCCAAAAGCAAGGTAACACCACCAAAAGAGTATTACAAACACAATAAAAATGAGAAGAGATATCCCTAAATACGTTAATTCTGGTTGTGTTCCCACACTGAAATACTCCCAAGTCATGGATTCCTGAGGTTCTTCTAAAAGGTACTGTATTTTTAGCACCACTTATGTAAATACAAATCAAGGCATTTTTCAATATATAAGTGAAAGTTCCTAAAACTGAGTATAAAAAATTATTTTGAAGTTATAATTAAGCTCAAGCATCCTTGGTTACTAGGAATATAATTACCAAGACTGGATATTTTGAATCCAGTGTTCTTTCTTTGTATTGACCCATATTTGGCAATTTCATTCCTGACCCAAACTTACACCTAAGAAATCAGTGGGCTTAACTAAAATTAAACTCCAATCAGTGTCCTCCTCCATTAATGCTACTGAAGCCTCTGGGCATTCAAAATGCTAAAAGGAGGCCTGGGAAGAGAGACATAATAAATGGTCTACTGATATGATGTTTCAATATGATTAACATGTTTCCAGACTTAATGGCCGCCACATCTTCAATATACATACCAATTCATTTTACCATTCCCAATTATAAATTTCAATTTATTGTTTAGAAAAAAAAAATAATCACATGGGACAGCTCACATCCACCCTCTCAGAATACTACTGGGTCCCAAGCTATGAGATTTTACCTGATAAACTCTAAAACTAGAGGGGAGTAGAACAAAAGGATTCAAAACCAATATTTGCTCACCTTAACCAAGGAAAACATCTTAGTAGACATTAAGAGAATATATTATAGTGTAATAAAAGTGTAAGTGGCTATATAAAGAAAACAGGATTAATCCTGCTCTTTGCACTTAAAACATTTTCATATGCGATATTCTAGAGAGAAGGAATGGTAATACTGCAGACCAAACCCCACATATTCCCATATCACAAGCTGGAGACCATAGATGCTGCCTGTTCCCTGATACTGCCATCACTGATCCTAGTGCAGAGTGGATGCTGAACATCCAGAAGTTCAGGCGAAGAGGAGAATCTGAAAATGTTCTGGAAAAGCAATGTTCATTCCATGGGACACGACACAGAGAAATGCTTTTAGGTTTAAATGTGCCTTAAAGGAACTCAAAGGTTTAAGTTCTGCCAATATCTCTAAACTTCTGAACTCTTGCAATATAAACTCTTAGAAAGTAAGCATAGTGTAGTTCTCACTACCTTGCCCCCTTCTAGAACACCATACCATTTTAAAGATCCCTCTAAGTAGATTATTCTCTTGAATCCATTTTTATCTTAATTCAATTTCTATACTATTGATGTCACTCACCAGCTCAAGACCAAAAATAAAAAATGAAATTAAGACTCTGAGCAACTAATATTGAATACTGCAACCAAAAAAAAAAAAAAAGAATTTTTAAATGAACTAATCATTTCTATTTCATTAAGTACTATTTCTTTGAAAGCTTTCTTTTCTGATGTTATTCTGCTAAACCTGGATGACAGTCTGATAGCACAGTGTGAGAAGGTCTTTGAACAATAAGCAACATAAAATAAACACCCCCTTTCAAATTTTTACCAATGTGGTGGCTAAAACTACAATTTCTGTAGACTTAAATTTAAAATGTAAGCAAATTGCCCAGAAGTCCAGTTCAAGTTCACTAAGATTAGAACATTTTCAAAATGCATTAATCATGATTTTTAATATCCTATTATTCACATTCAATAATGTATATGAACCAATGGTCAGATTCAATATATCCCAAGGGCATAAATCTCTATTGCCAAGTATAATCTAAATATTTCAAGCTATGCTCTAAAAGAATACTCATAAATGAATGGTAAACATTTCCTATCATATAGTTACAAATACTAAACTTGTCAAAGCCAAGAAGTCATTATTGTTACTTTAATTGGGCTTCTAGGTACCTCCTTATTTAAGATACCAATGTATTTCACTGTGAAAAGCACAAAGCCTCTCTAAAGTATTCACATACATTTATAGAATCTGATTCAAAATGCTACTTGATACATGTCTAGTAAAATGTGGTGAATATCACCAAGTAGGTACTAGGAAAAGTACTAATGTAACAGTCTGAATACTTTGTGCAGGCTGAGCTTTCTTAACTAAGACTTAATTCTTTATTAACAGACACAGATTTTCAAAAAGTGTAGAAAACTTATTAATCATATTAAATTAGATCAAATAGATTTTAATTATTATAAAATAAGCTCAGTACTTGAGGGAAACATCAACTCCACAAATGTTGAGCCAATTCAGGTGCCGCCAACAGAATACTGAAGAGTGATGTGTCTGGTTCACATGAACAATGACCACAGTGCACATCCCTTGCAGACCAGCTCAGCAGCACTGTCCCCTTTAGCAGCTCCAGTAAACACCTCGCCTGTGCCCAGCAGGTCATCACTGCTTTTCTCAGGCTGCCCAAGCCAAAGCAAGGACACATACGGCTCAGCCACCCTTCTGCACACTGTTGCTTTAGCTTGCTCAGGAAAAATCTCAGGTTGGTTGCTGTTATTTATCCCCTGCCAGCAAACAGGATATCAGCCCATTACATGGATCTGGCAATGATGCTACCTTAAACACAGCATGAAAAGGGCAAGAGAAGATCAGGAGCCCAGCTTGTCCCCACCTCTGAACTCTGAGCAGTGACTGAAATCATATGGCCTTAGATTCCTCCTCTAAACACATGGGTGGATATAAACTCTGTTTTAACTATAAAACTGTGACTCTTTGGAACTTTAGAATAATTAACAGCCCCTGACACTGGAGTACAACTACAAGAAACATTCATCCATGCTAATAGGGACCTGTACCATGTCCCAGACTCTGGAACATTGGGGACAGTAGACACCTGTAACAATCACTAGATTCCACTGTATCTCCTCCAAACTTGAAAAAAGCCTCCAAACAACCCACTCTGGGGCCCAATTCTTCATCTTCTATGAGACCATCTGCTTAAAATAGCATTACTTAATATGTAAGTCTGAATCACTGCTCATCCCTCCATAAGATAGAATATCCGAGGATGATGACTGTGCCATTAACAAATCTCCCACAATTGTACCACTTAAGCAGACTGCATAGAATGATCACTACAGAGACCCATTTCCACCAAAGAAAAATTACCATCTTAAAACTTAAAAGCCAGTTTACCAGTAGAGAGAATTTTGACTTGAGACCATGAACATATTCTTCAAAATGAGTTTCCTCTAAAACAAAGTATTTGCTTTACGAAAATGCAGTATGCACTTTCCAAAGGTATGCTCTGAAGGTCCCAATGAAACACATTGGGTCCCAGATAAGGGAAAACAGTTGTTCTTATTATGAAAAGTTAGTCTTCAGAACACCCCAGTCCAACTTGGCTCCCAGGGGCCCAAGAGTTCTCACAGACTGCTCTTAGAGACCAGCAGAGGCCTGAGCCCATGCTGAGGAGCTGCCTGTGCACTTTTGCCATGTCCTCAGACTGTCCAGGCAGGTGAGTCTCTCACAGACTTGTCTCCTCACATACTCTGACAGGGATATTATAGTGCCGATCATCCTCAGCGATGAGGGTCACCACCGGCCAGTCCTTGGGTGGGTCAGTGGGATAGACTGTAATGAACTCCTCAGTGTTGTACTTGGAGAGCCGGTACACCTGGATGGTATGACGCACAGCATAGGCAAGAAGGAACATTTCAACCTGTGGAGAAGGAGCAAATGGGATTCTTAAGGAAGCCACACCAAAAGATAGGGTCTACACCATGTCCCATCTATTACCCTGACCACACACACAGCAGTGGCTTACACTGCGACCTTTTTCCTCCTCTCCTTTGGACCCAGTCCCAATTGTTATTAAAAAAAAAAAAAAAAGAGAGAGAGACAGTCAAGAATGGAGCATACATTTGGTAAGGTACCCATACCAGAATATATAAAGAATACTTACAACTCAACAATTAAAAAAATATAACCAGAGGCTGGGGTTGTAGCTAACTGGTTAAGCACTTGCCTCACGTGTGAGAGGCACTGGGTTCAATCCTCAACAACACATAAAAAAATAATAAATAAATAAATAAAACAAAGATATTAAAAA